AGAATCAGCATTTTAATTTTAGTAATTTTTTTAAAAATTTTCAACTGTCCGGTGATTTTTGATCACCCACTATACATTAAAATACTAGCTGTTGAATTTCAAAAGTTTATGTTATTGTTAAAAAATTTAGTATTGAACTTTGAAGATTTTTGATAATGAAATAATACATATCGAAATTTAACCGTTAAATTTTGATTTTGAAGGGTTGCGACACAATCGATAACCTTTGAAATCTAACGTTGCGATATAATTTCAAAGGTTTTCAAATTAATATAATTACTAATACTGTTCAGTAGAGTATTATGTTAGAATAGCTCTTCAAGAGTTATTAGGGGTAAGGACCATATAGTATATATTACCAATTCTATTTTAGGTATTTACAGTTAATTTAAACTAGACAAGATCTCAGTATAAATTTGTACCAAGTTCTGTATAGATTGTGAATATATAATTATAATTTTATTACATATAAATTATCTGGAACAAAGTATAATATGAAATTATTTCATGATTGACATTTTGATTAAGTAATAATTGGATCTACACGGTTTTTCATACTGAAATTGATAAAAATAAATTTGGGATACTGTATTATATATTGAAAGAGCTTAGGCAATGTTTGGAAGAAACTAAATTCATGTGATATTGTAACAAGTCATGCAATTGTGTTCAATAAAGTTTTCTCTTGATTACAATAAAAGCTTTAAATGTACATATATTATTTGTAAAACTCTAGAAAATATAAATCATAAATTCTATTTAATAAATATACTAGTATTGTCTCGAATATAACATTCTATTAAGCGAGACTGAAAGGTTACAGTATTTTTTTTCAGATGATATGCAAATACATTTTTCTCTAAAATTTCATTGGATTCCATGGGCTTATTGAAAAACTTTTCAAATTCAATACAGTTAAGCTCTTTGGAATTTAGCAAAGCGCTGATAACACACTTTCCTACTTCATGATATTCGTATTTTTCAAGAAGTTTTGCTTCTCTGAATTTATCCTCAACTTGCTTAAACTTTATCCTTTTAATATCTGTAAAAATAAAATTAATGAAAAAAGTGATCAAAAAACAGATCATATAATGTAACATATCAAAACTATTTCTACCTTCAAAGGATTGTCCTTTTTGAAGTTTATCTACTGCAGACTTCAGCTCTAAAATTCGCCCACCAATTAAATCATTTAATTTTTCTGCTTCTTTAGCATCAACCTTACGCTTATTGATCAGGTAATCCAATGATTCTTCTTTGGTGAGATCACCAATTTCAATTGGATCTTCTGCACGAGACCAAGCACTACGCACTAGAAATAAAAATATCAATATGCTTGTAAATTTTTGCAAAGAAAAATTCTCAAGTACCTATATTGCATTTTCCGGGGAACCGAACTTTCACTGCTGACAAATACAGCAATATATGTTCTTTCATCAGCACTGTACTTGGCCTCATCCTGAAGAATATCAAGAATTTTTGAATTTTCAAGAATCAATTGGCTAACATTATCATAAATAATAACTGATGGTTTTCCATATTTTTCTTTATACACTTCAGAAGCACGTCGAAAGATTTCCATAATTCTCTCCCATTGATAAGAGGAAATGGCAGTCTCACCCCCAGTTAAACCTATTGCGAAAGAAAAGAATTTTCGAACCAGAAATGCTGTAATAGAGGTGTCTTCAAAGAATAACAAATTAATAGCATTTCCAAAGGATTTTCCCAAGTAATTAAAATTAGAAGGAATATCAACATATATGACACCTTTTCTAACATTTGTTGCCTCCCTTCTAGTCAATGTTGTCTTCCCGGTTCCATGTTCTCCGCAGATGACATGATAATATGAATGATCTTCATCTGGTTGAAATACTTTCTCAAGGGTTTTGAAAATTTGAGATCGAAAAACAAACTGCTCATCTTTCACTTTTGGCACAGGCCTAGTACCATTTTCTAGAGCTGAACTGACACGATACTCATTAAACTTATTCACGACAAAAGCAACAAGAAAGTCCATTAATATGCTGATCCCAGTAACTTGCTTCCAGTTGTTTCGTAAGAAATTCCATATATCTTTCCACCCGAAAGTAGCAGATGAATTATGAGATGGGGGTTTAGGTTTTTTTAGTTTTTTTGAAATATCAATAAACTTTTTTTGCACCAGTTCTCCAAGAGATATTGCTTTCTTTTCTGAAATTTTGGAACCTTCTGGTATCATATCTTCAGCTTTATATCTGGCCTCAGCATCTTTTATGTTTGTAAAATTTCTCGAAAACGATGACTGAAATAAGTCAGGTCTCGAGATCCTCAACTTAAAACTCGGCGACTGAAGGCATCGTACTCGATGTTTAACGAAGTGGGATAGAAAAATGTTCTTATGAAGGACCTTAAAAGAGGACATTTCTGATGGTCACTAACAAATGAACAAATGTCACACAAATCAAACATGATGTCATTATTTCTAACATATATAAGTTGAACGAATGAACGAAAACAAGACTTGATATATGTATTGTTAAGTAACTTTATTTTTATCACGTAGTTAAAGATGGAACAAAAAATGTGATATTTCGTAACATTTAACTACACTTTTATTTTGTTATAGGTATAGCTTGGGAGTGAGTGTGTAATGCTGAGATATGGCATGTGCATCGTGGAGGTTTTAGAGTAGATGTGATCATGTATCGTAATTTCTTTAACAATAAAAAATATATTGACTGATATATACAAACGTGATATGAAAACAACCCATGTCACATGAATAGTATTGTGTGACTGCCTAACTAACTTCTTTCTATAGTATCTGAAGAAATCAATGATGTTAACAAAGCTCTTAAACAGTGTATAAGAGAAATTGTATTAAGACTTTCGAATTTGGAGACTATGCAAGATAGTACCAGTGAAGCGACCCGTTGTATTTTTATCACATCTATCCTAAATACATCAATAATAATTACTCAAAAACTTACCAACAATGAAGAAATATATATTGCGTACCAAGATGATGTATCTGGTGAAGATAGTGTTGGGCGTGTTGATTATTCAATCGAAGGAAATGAGGATCTTATATGTATAGCTGAGGGAAAGCCACGTAATGTTGAAATCAGCTATCTCCGAAATATAAAGCAACTGGAGAGTGCAAGCCATATGAATAAAGGAAGGAAACGAACCGCAAATCAAGCATTTGAAAATGACGATGATTATATTTACGGAATAGTCTCTGTAGGTATAAATAGCAAAGTTAATCTCTGATAAAAAATTTGTTACATATTTCTCTGATTATCTTTTTTCTAGCTACGGAATGGCATTTTATTAAACTCGCTACGGAAGGCCTATATTGTATCAGCAAAAGTGAATATCTAACATTAAAGTTAGAGTATCATATGATGTGTACTATAAAGGTTGTAGAATTCACGCGTCGTTTTCTAACTTGATCATTATAGAAGAGAGAACTGATTTTTCAAGAAAACGTGAACATCATATTGGTCATTAATAAACTACTTACAATACAGGTGAAAACGAGATGATTTTACATATGACAAAGTAAAGGAGCATTTGGATTACAAAGTAGCATTAGAAAAATTGACTAGCTGTGTTGATTATACAAAAGTATTTAGATTCTCTTAAAGTTAAGTTTATGCTCCTTTAACAATTTGTGATTGGCAATTTCATGTGTTCAAGGACTAAAATACGTTTCAGTCACTGAGACAATAGTGTGACGTATTGACAACTCCCGAGTAAACTGGCTAATTGCGATTGGCTGGCCGATAGTGGATTGCGATTCCCTCAGCGGCAAAGGTAAAGCTCTTTATAGGCTGAGCCGAGCCGAGCTGAGTTCAAAAGTCTTAGGCTCGGCTCAAGCCTGAGTTTATAAGTTAGGCTCGAGTCGAGCCTCATAGTAGGCTCGCGAGTCTTATATTAGGCTCATAAACTTAACAATTCACAGACTTTTTTTAATAATATGAATTTCTTTATTATTATTTGCTAAAATTACAAAATTTTAATTATAGATATAGATTTTCATGTAGAACACTTTTATTTAGAGACACAACTAAGGTTTAAAAGGTAGTTCAAAATCAGAAGAGTTAAATTTTTTTATAATAATTTTTAAAATTTAAATTAATT